CGTTGTTTAGACCTTGATAATGACACACTTCCAAACCTCGTTGTGTAGACCTGGATAATGACACACTTCTACAGCTTGTAGTGTAGTCAAAGAAAATAACCAACTTCTACATCTCGTTGTGCAGACCTGGATAATGACTCAATTCTACAGCTCGTTGTGTAGACCTTGATAATAACACATTTCGACAGCTTGTTGTGTAGAAAAAGAAAATAACCAACTTCTACAGGTTGTCGTGTAGCCTGGAAAATAACTCAATTATACTGCTCGTTGTGAAGACCTCTTGATGACTCAATTCTACAACTTGTTGTGTAGACAAAGAAAATTACCAACTTCTACAGCTTGTTGTGTAGACATAGAAAATAACTTCTACTGGTTGTCGTGTACAAAATTACGCACGCCTACAGATTGATTTACAACTTAGATGAATACATTTCCAGGAGCCAATTTGGGAGATTAACCATTACGTTGCGTGAAGTTTGTGGACGATATTTGCTGAAATTACCTTTGCAGAAACATCTACATATATCTTTCATTGCAACAAGTGGGATATTTATATTTCTTTCTACTTCAATTTCTTTTCTTTTTTCAGTTGTTTTAATTCTTAAGCAATAATTGGTATAGGGATTGCCAGGGTTGAAGGGCAATGATTGCCCTTAACGTAGGAGGGTTTTCGTTCGCCATACATAATGTACCTTTCACTCAATTATTACTTTGGTTTTTTTTGTTAAATTACATAATTAAATACGACCATTCACACCCCTCTTTCTTTTTCTATTCTATTTAACCTTTGTCTCCTAGCGCCTTGCTTGGCAATACCTCATTTCTGGCTTTAATTTTGAGCGTTCGCCCAGGTGAGAAAGGCAATGAATCTGTCCCCTGGCCGGGACATACCAAAGTCCATTTAAATGGTAGTTGTCATTCCTAGATAAACGTTCAGCATTTAGGATAATGGCAACAACTGGTTCACCCGTTGTCAGTATAATGTGACCGGGTGGAATGCTGTGCTGGGTGCCTTCAGAATGGTATTTCAGTGAGATAGCGACATAAAGTCGGCATCAGATCCGCGCTATCACAAGGAGGCAAATACACTAAAATACCCTGTTTCGGCACACATACACAGATGCATGCATACACAACACACATGGAGGAACGTGCTTAAATGACCCTCGCTGTTAATAGGACGTTTAATAATATAAAACTAAACCTTTCTTCAATAGGTGGTCTGGATATTCATAAAGATATGCTGACCCTATCACAAAACTGAAAACAGGTGTTACAATCATGGTGGAAACGTTTTAACAACGAATTAACTTAACACAATGATCATTCTAAAGTGCCAACACAATGAAATGTCACACTTGAAGGCGGTATCATTACTGTCTAGGGTGCATCTTCGAACAAATAAAGTAAATGAAGACAGAACAGACATAATTGGAATTCCTAAGTTTTAAATCGGAACGCATATTAATATTTTACACCCTTCGGTATGTCGTAAGTAGATGACTCAAACGTAAACACGCCTCATATGATTTTGAAGCAAGGAACAGTAGCAGGCTAGTTATTCCCTAGTGTCCATTATTAATATATTATTAATACCTAAACCTCATACACAAATATAAAAAAAAACACCCAACAAACAGAGTGTTTTTGTATAGAATGAAAGCCGATGTGTATATTGATTTAATCGAATAACTGCCATGTTCCACACAGTTAATGTGGTCCTTCGATTCCCTTATAGAATACATGTACATGTATATACATGACCTCACATTTTCAATATAACGTCTTTGATGCAGCTTTTAACCCATCGAGATAATTAAAACAGCTGTCGGAGCGTATCCGAAACGCATTAAGATTACTTTATGTAGATTTTTCTCTTGATATTTAAATTTGTATTCCGGTTTTCTTCTTCTATGCAAAACACCTTCATAAGCATGGTATCAATTATTTCCAAATACTGAATATCGAAGAAAAACCTTTCTCAGAAAAACTTTCAGGTGACGCATGGATTGTCGTACACTCTAATGCGCTGTGTGACGTTTTTACAGTTTGTGAAGAAGGTTTCACACTGGGTCAATAGGTACATGTAGTCATCTGGAGTGTAAGCAGATGGATGTGTGATACGTGTGAGAGAAAATGGCATTTTCTTTCTTATCGTGTATGTTTACACAAGGTTATATATCTGAGGTTTATAAATACAAGTCTTTATAACTGCAGAAGATAAATGTGTGTCACTTGCGATTTGGGTCGGTCACTCAACAACCAAATTTATAGTGTCAACAAAAGGCAATGTCACACCGTGGGATTACCTCCCCTAGTCCAATTATCTGACATATTGCTATTCAGACGTCTTAAATAATTACAACCGAAAAGACAAAAACACGTGACAGAAGGAAAGGAGAGCTATAATAAGTGCTGGCATAAGAGGATATTTTGTGTGTGCATAATGTACTTGAACAAACCCTTGTGTAATGCAGGCGTCCACATTTGATGTTTTATATCTGTGTTGTTATTATGTAATACCAAGAACAACCAAGGTTTTCGATGAACATCACATTTATATATATTCCGTCTTTGCGTATTGCAGAGTTATCTTCTCTTGGGACCAGGTATTGATTGTTACGTCATTGGGTTGTGCGAGAAAATTACGCCGTCTGCTCAAAAATTGATGACGTTACTTTCACAAACAAGTGACGTAACACTCAATACCTTCTCCCAAGAGAAGATAACTCTGCAATACGCAAAGACGGAATAGAGAGAGAGAGATATATATTTAGCCCAAACTGATACTACCGCTGCAATTGACATGTAGATTAACCATGCATAGTTTAAGATCTGGGAGGAGTGGGGGGATCATCATATAAAAACAGTTAATGCAGTTCATATTGGCACAAATAAGTGGAGAAATCGAGGATAGGCGAAAGGTGTATGTATCAGTGAATGTGATGAGGTCTGGGTCAAGTGGACTTCTATTTACCACATGTCTGCTTGTGGTAGGTATTCGTGGGTGAGAAAATGATTTATCATTGGGAGTATCGTTCATTTCAAATGAGCTCACCTGTGGTCTACCTGTGCTACTCTAGGCTTGGCAGTGATCGTGTTGGTACATGTAACTTATGGTGGTGATACTGTTAGGCATTTGACAGTTTTCAGTTTTTAATACATAATTGAAACGGATGTGTTCCAAAATAATACAAGTAAAGCCATTTTCCAAATGATACATAATTGTAAAACTATTTTTTTATCAGACGTATCCGCTTAGATGTTTATCATACATATGAAATGCTTGAGGTCGACAATGTCAAGCATCCCCAACCACAACTGTTTTCAGTACACGTGTACGACAGGCTAAGTTAATTGAGGTGGCGAGGCAGTGTAGTTTGTCATTATATACTTATCCATAATATGCATTGTAATTGATTCATGTCGAAAGTGCAAAATAGATAGGTCCTTAATGAAACGGGTAAGCATGTCTCAAGCATCTAGTAAAGGGCTCGATTTCAGCACAACACTTGTTCATTGTCTAACCTCATTAGTCCTTGGACCGGTATCTTATAAAACAACTTTTATTCTTTATCGCAAATCTACTTAAAATGTTTCCCAAGAACAAAGACTTCGCCATATTTACTTTTTAATACGATTTGTTTTGTATGTTTCCCACAGTCAATCAGTATTTTCTATTTTACTTTGGTGACATTGCTATCAGGAAATCTTACTACATACACTCGGGGAAACTTATCTCATTAGTATTATTATGGTTGTCATTCCTGGGATGTTAAGCGTCTCGGGAAACCTAATTACATTAATATTGATAAAGCTGTCATTCCTGGTATGTTTAGCGTCTCGGGGAAACCTCCTAGTTGTTTTGAGATGGTATAGGACGCTATACAAATATGTATTATCATTTTACGCTAAGGTTTTGTAAATCAATAATAATAATCCGAATTTCAAAATATTCTTTTTTAACGTACTTTATACAAAATAATCATATGTACCTTTATACAATCGCTTGATTGCAATATTCACCGACATCATCGGCCAGGACCACCTCTCACGGGGCGTTTCGACTCCTATCCTGGAACGCCCTACAGGTGGCGAGTCGACAGTGATTGGCCCAATCACTGCCCGTTGGTGGATGGCATCCAACTCTTGTCCTCTTTCCTCCACCAGGGCCAACTAGACGACTTTTCTGCTGTTGTTGAGAGTCGTTGTATGGCTGCCCTTCGGTTTCTTCCCCTGATGCCCAATGCCGTGTACATCCTCCACATCGATTGTGCCGGGAACCCCCAGCATCCCATCTCGACAGAGAAGACCCAAACACTCCATCCCTTTGCCCTCACATCCTCAGCAATGCTGATGCGCTCGTGCACCTCTTCGCATCGTTTTTCCCAGGGAACGGTCAGCTCTACCATGATCATCTTCTTCTCTTGCTGAGACCAGAGCAGGATATCCTGGCGTAGCTCGGTTTGAACGATGTCTAGAAAGACCAGTCTTCGTTCCAAGTCCACCCGCATTTCCCAAGTCTGAGTCCCATCCAAAATCCCTCCCTGGTTATTTGTTGTCTTGGCAGTCTCCCCGGATCTTACATAGTTGATGTAGGGTCTTTCTTTCACCACTTTCCTCTTCTTTCGTCTTTCCATCTCCAGCGTGTTTGATAAATCTCGCAGGACCTTGTCGTGTCTCCATGTGTATCGTCCCTGTGTCAGGGCAATATTACACGATGATAAAATATCGGATAGGTTATCTGGCTGGCCACACAGTCGACAGTTGGGGCTTTGCGTCAGTCCCCATCGGTGTAGGTTTGTAGGTGTTGGCAAAACGCCGTACACCGATCGTAGGAGGAACTGGATCCTACATGGTTCTAGTTTCCAGATGTCTGACCATGTTAGTCGTCTGTCTGTAGTCTCCCATTCTAGTCCATGCCCCCAGTGATCCCATTTCCACAACCTCCGCCTTCCTGATCACCTCCTCCATCTTTCTGATATTGTCTTGCACCATTTTCATCCTACCAACTGTGTCAGCTGTTTCCCACCGTTACGCATGTGATGTTCCAAATCCTTACATGTTGTCCCAACAAAGTCGCTGTGTCGCAATGCGCTTTCTGTCTGCTGGACGGCGGTGCTTGCCGACCACTTCCGTCCTGTTCTAGTGTCGATCCCTGCACTCCTGATCTTCTGGTCTTTGGAAACCCTAACAGGCATCACCAATCTAGCCTTTGCCACCTTCCATTCCTCCACCAATGGTGATGTTGTGAGCTGCAATTTGGCTGACTGTACAGGCCGATACTGGTGAAGCTGCGGGGTACACCTAACCATCTGCGGATACAATTGTTGATCTTCCTCTCAAGAGTCTCCACTGTAGTCGTGGTGACTTAATACAGTTTGATAGGCCAAGTCAGGCAAGGAAGAAGGCCATAGTGGTACATCTATGCTTTGAATTTCCCTTGCAGTCCTGTTTTGTCTATCTTCCTCAAGCCCTCCTCCACATGTGTTTGCAGCCGTTTGATGTTCTTGCTGTCATTAAAGCTTTTGTCAAACCACTTCCCCAAGCACTTAATCGGAGTGTCAACTATCGTTGGGATCTCTTCCTGTTGGATTATAAGCTTAAACTTCCCCGTCACCCTCCCTCTCTTGATGACCAAACTTCTTGATTTTCTTGGTTTTAACTTCATCCTGGCCTACTTTACTGTATCTTCTAGAATTGACAATATCCACCGTGCCTGCACATGTGTTGTGCTTGTTATTGTCAGTTCGTCCATACAACCTCTGTTCGATGGTAGTCTCACTCCTGACGATGTTTTATGTCCTCTGGTTTCCCTGTCTGCGGCCTTGATGATCAAGTTTATCCCCATGACAAAGAATATAACAGAGATCGTACATCCTGTCACAATGCCCTTCTCAAGTGCCTGCCATGTTGTTGTTATCTCCCCTACCGTGAACCGAAGTCTGATGTTGCTGAAGTAACTCCGTATGATCCCCTGGATGTGTTCCGGGATTCGGTAGTGTTCTAATGCCTTGAAGATCAGTTGGTGTGGAATTGAACCATAAGCATTGGACAGGCCTAACCAAATCACAATAAGGTCTCCATGGTTGATCTTGGCTTCACGAATCAGCTGAGTGTCAGCGCTGGTGTGTTCAATACACCCTGGAAATCCTGGAATGCCTCCTTTCAGAATAGAAGAATCAATGTACTCGTTGGATGTCATGTACGTTGTCATTCTCATTGCAGGTATGGCGAAAAAGATCTTCCCTTCTACACTTAAGAGTAACATGGTCCTAAACTGATTCAAGTTAGCAGAGTTCTTCTCCTTCGGTACAAATATCCACTCTGCTGTCTGCCAGCATTCAGGGATCTTGCCCTTCCTCCAGATCACTTTCACAAGCCTCCAGAGACAACGCAGAAGTTTTGGGCACATCTTGTATACCTTGTAGGGTATACCACTTGGTCCCAGTGCTGATCCTGATCCAGCTTTCTTCATCACTTCCACCATTTCCATCCACGATGGTTCTTTCGAATCTTGCGGGGTTGCAGATTTCTCAACTGATGATAATTTGCTGCACTCCCCCAGTGAGATGTCCATTTCTTCACCAGAGTGGGTATCTGCCAGATATTGTTCCATTTTCTGCCTAGAGGTTTTCAACAGACCGGTGTTGTCAATCTTTTTCGAATGTCATCAATACTTTCAGCTCCTTTCGCAACTTTGCCACTTCCTGCTGGCTCCTAATGGGTTGATGGACTACTCCAGATGTTTTGCATCATCTGTAACAAACCTCTCACAGCTGACTGTATACACAATCGTCGTGAGCGATTTGATTTTCCTTTCCACTCCACCCTGCAGCATCGTATCCAAAATAGTGTCAAGATCGTCATCCAGCTGTTTCCATCTTTGACCATTTTACCCGCTTTCTCCTGTCTGCGTGGTCATTGTCTTCTCGAGTCACTTGGATTACATCTCCCTCAGGTGAACTTGAGGTGTCTGGCTGCGACGTCACATCAGCGTAGAGGTCCTCAGCACTATGGTGTAAATCCTGGCTGGGAACCTCCTGCGTCTCATCAGATGTTACATATGCGCGCTGCTGTTGTATCTCCTCAAGTCGGCACTTTGCTTTCGCCTGGTCGATCTGCAAACCACGTAGGTTCTTGCAGAACTTCTCACATATGCATCTTGTTTCTTTTTCCTTTCCTCCTGTCAAAGTCCGTTATACTAGCGAAGTCGTTACCGTGTTGTCTGTCCTGGTGAGTCTTTCATCCTATTCCCCCCTCTCGGAAGACTCTGTGGTGTTGTTCATCTTGTATACTCGTAGCTGGTTGTAGGCTGTCTCATCGCGGGAACTTTGAAATGGAATGCTACCCCACTACACCCTGCGTGTGTAAATTCGCAACGAGATGTTTTGCTGTTTTGTTTGACTTATTACCAGAAGAGGTTAGAGTTTAATCATTCTGGTCAAGGAAGATGATCATAAAACTCAAGCACCCAACAACAAAAGTAAGAGGTGAGACATTGTTTCGCAGGTGTAAATTCACTTCGACTTATCATCTGGTTTAATAGAATCTATTCATTTAGATGTAGTTTAGATTTAGTCCTTATGGCGATGTGCTTTAGTACAGTCTATAAATATATATATATATATATTTCGCAAAAAGGCATGTATCACAATACAATACAAGTATAGACATTTACTCACAGTCCCTCTCTTGATAACGGGCACATGTAATAATGCAGTTTCTATAGAGACTTAAGTCATGTGTCATAGTTTACATATGAGCATACTTCACCTTAATAACAGCGCATTGTTAAATATCTGATTGGATGATATTGATCCCCTAACGGGGCATTAAAATAGCATGTCACGCGCTGGCGTGCACCACAACCATATTCCGAATGACTGAAGCAGACGAAAGTGACGCGTTTATCTAAACACCTTGGCTATTGAATTATTGTTATACCTGCATGATAATATATCTATTGTCCTTGTGTTAGGGAAACAGGAGTCTTTCTCTTTGATTAAATACGTTTAAGTTAGACCTTTTCAAACGTGTGTTGATGTAGTCTGTATGAAGTGAGTTAGTCATATGTACATGAGTTACATGCATTACTAAATATAGATATGGGGCATGGGTCATATTTTTGTCTTTACTGAGTCTTTCAGACCTATAGTCCTATCCTACTGTCGATAATATCTGTAGACTTGTATATGGTTACTTAGGGCTACAGTCATGTGATATCACTAGGCCTACAGTCACGTTATAAATATTATATAGTCGGTAGAGCCTACATTTATGTTATATATTTATCATTAGATTTTAGGCTTACCGACATGTTTCACCCCATAGTTTTTTTTATATAATAGTGTAGGCGTACAGTCACGTGATAAATAGTATATAGTCGGTAGAACCTACATTTATGTTAAATATTTATCATTGTATTTTAGGCTTACCGACATGTGTCACCCAATAGTTTTTTATGTAATAGTGTAGGCCTACAGTCACGTGATACATAATATATAGTGATTGCTATGATATAGTCCCTTAGGCCTACAGATATGTTATATTACGTGTATAGTGTTTTTGGTTTGCAGTCACGTGTCACACACTATTATATTTTTTAATATTTGAGCCTACATTAATGCGTCATACCTCAGTTTTGATATTGTCTTTTAGGGCTACAATCATGTGTTAAGCTGCATTATATCATTAAAGCCTCATGAGCATATATGTATATATCTATGTACCGTCATCCAGTACTAATGTAGATATCATTTACCTCATTGGTCTCTACACCGCCCTATAGACCCAACATGTTGACTTATGAGTCCCTATCTCTGGAAGCTTTATCACGTGACGTTGTAGTACACAATGACTAATGATCCGACGGGGTTATTATCAGCTACATATACATGTAAGATTGTACACGCTCGCTGCGAAGAAGCTAATAAAAAATAACAGACGTGTAGCTGCCTATACGCTTGTACGCAGGTTAATCCATCATATTTTCAAACAGAAAAACAGAACAAAACGCAGTGCGAACTCGGTCATAGTTTTACAAAGGAACCAATCGGTCTTGAATCGTTGCGACACGTTTAATACGTACACTGTTTGTGTAGAAGTTAAAGCTTTGATATATAATAAAACAAAACACTGCTTATTGTATCCGTTTGTCGCCCTACCAAGGCCCTGCCCTGGATCCGTTACTAAATTAATTCACTACCAACAAAGGCTAGTTACGCCCCGGAACAATTGATCTATATTACTGTTTTATTAAAATTGTTGTTCAAAGTAGTATTTTCGTAATTATTCTCAATGTCATTCTCACCTGTGTGTAGAAAATGGTTTTCTGCTGAAATGTGTGCAGTGTACACACACACCGGGTATAATGTTATCATACAGGTATACATTGTACATCAAAACTGTTCAATGTCAAATACCGCCAGGTTTTATATCAAACTTTCAAAAGGAATGTGTCATTAAAACAGCCTTCAGTTGGAAGCGCTTGGGTGAAAACTGAATTTATCGCCAGACAACTCGACTTTACTTTCAGCTACACATATCCGGAATGGCAAGAATACAAACAAAGACCTCCTCCCTGGTAGTTCCCTATAAACGATAAGCAGTTTAATAGAGGTGCAAAGGACCTTGATACTACATGGATAACATATCAGACTCGACTATTATGAAAAGACAAAGCCTTAAACGAGCCTAGCTTTGATATTTACTGATTCAGAATACTGCTTTCAGAATGAAATAAGATAAACCTGATCTAAAGTCGGTTAGTCGAGAAATAGCAATAAAACATAAGCTCTAATGAGATTAAGACCGACATTACAAAAGGGGAGATCGGGGAAAGTTTGGCCCATTTTTTTTTATTTTTTTTATTAAAGTCCTTTGTGGGAAATATGGAAGCACGTCCGTTTTTGAAGATTATTTAAGTTTCTCTGTCTGAAGATCGGATGGCCGAACGAGCCTCGCAATGGATAAGGAATCAGCTTAATTATGACGTTATAAAGCATGCAACGTCAAATTTTACCGCAAATTTTACCACTTTTTATGTGTTTCATGAGCCGAACTTGCCACGGTTTCATTGGCTGAACCTGTCCATTGATTTAAAGATGGTTATATACACCTGTACCAATAAAACATTATATGAACTTTATTTACTGCCATTTATGGTTACAATCACAGTTTTATTTTGTAAATAATGACGCAAATGTAACGTTCTAAATTGATGCGCCATGCGACGTTATTGATTTTCAATTTTTGTATGTGATTTTTCACAATCCTACTTTTTCACAACTAATGGTAGTTTGGAAAAGAAATTCATTCAGAACGACCATTGACTCTTAAATATTCCAAAGGTATGCCATGTTCTGCTAAATCCTTTTTTTTGGTCTCCAAACATAAGCCAAAACTGCCAGTGGTGTCTCCCGATTTGGTTACAGCTACACCTGTTTCGCAATAACGTACGTATCCATGACTATATTTCCGGTTCTATTTATAGAACCACGCGCTGGAAATATCAACTTGTTATCAAAATGAAAGATAATGATATCTTTTCCTAAAAAAAGTAAACAAAAATTACTGGGATCGGTACTATGGTATATGAAATACATCAATATTTCACCAAAAAGTGCCCCGATTTGGGTACTGTAACGTTAGAAGCGAGATCATGATTTCTTTCTACCCTCTAAAAAGTAATTTTCTCCTGTTTAGTAATTTTACATTAGAGTTTTCCTCGCCATTTTTTCGTGTGATTGCCCAGCCAACTAAAATTGCTAAGATCCATAAAGTTGTAAATATTAGCGTAAAAAAATAAATATTAGGAGTTGCCGAACTTGCACCGGTAGTGTTTTTGTATCGTTGATAAAAATGTATTCACAATATAATTTTGCATCAATGACGCCATTTTCTTCCAGTCAAAGCTGAAGTAGATATTTTTTCCTGTGCGTAACGTATATAGTATGTGCACTCGTCTTAACCAAGATGGCCGGATTCTATCCCGGTCACCTGCCCGACCATGCGTATGCTCCAGCTTCCTCCCATATTAAGATTTGAACCATCTGCGTGCTTCCGTCAGGGCACAAAAAAAATGATTGAGATGAGGTGGGGGAAAACTGTTTGATAATAGCTATAGAAAAAGTGCATATTACATATTTGATGATTAGTCTAAGTACATGTATAGAGATGTTAGTTAAAAAATGAAATTAAAAAAAGAAAACATAATACTTTGATGTAACTGAGATTGTCGTTATATAGATATTTAGTCTGAATTCCTGTTCCATCCTGAAACACCGGATTGAATTTCAGGTTTTGTAACTGTCACTGAGGTTTTGACGTTGCTGAAAAATGGCGTTGAACTCGGGTTCGTTGTCTGGACAATTATTGTTGATTTCGACATAAATGAATTATCCATTGTTTCTTTCATGAGTGGTGATGCATACATAAATTATGTAAAGACTATAACCAGACTTTCAAAAATGTTAAATATTTCGTTCATATTCTCAAGAAATCAAAATCAAAAGCTGATGACATTTTAGACGATGAAAAATAATTGTACTCGTTAACCTATTGGTTTAATGCGCTTCTTTTTGAAAATATCTCCCGGTAGAAACATTAACAGAACCTGATGACAAAAAGGATCTTCAGAAAACATCTGCGTTTTTACTTTTTGTGCCTGTGGCAAAAACAGAAATTAAAAAGTCATGAAGCACCGACAAAGAGATAAATGCAACGGCCATCAGTTCCAAGATTTTCCGGTTATTTTTCATCCTTTCGGAAATAAACGATGAAAAACGATGGAGTGTGGCGTGCTTGTGACTTCATTGTATGATAATCTCTGAACGACGTTTCATGCCTACTAGTATAAAAATGTATGTGATAGAATTTTTTCACTCAGAATGTATATTAGTTTTTGCCAAAATAAACAAGTAATAAAACATGGATATTGTTTTCACTATATGAAGATGTTGATGTATGGGTTGAAACACAATTATCTTTGCTCCAAGGATACACTTCTTGTTTCCCCACTGGACGTCTACTTCCGGACGAAAAAAACCATAAAGGCAAGGTGTAGCAAGGGAAAGCAACTCTGTTTACGCACGCATGTGTAACGATTAAAGAGCTTCGCTCGGGCGCCTTCGGCGCCCGAGAGCTACGCTCTTATAACTCTCTGAAACGATTTATTAGATATTGAAATGAAAAAAGGCTATGGCCCTTCGTAGGGGCAAAGTATATCAGGGTTTCCAACAAGGCTACTCGACGTTAGTGTTGGAATTAATATAGAAACATGCATTGCCTGAAACGAGCGAAGCGTCTAAATGCTGTTTTTTCAATCTTATTTTCTAAATAACATTATTACTGTTGCATTTAATTGCCCCGTCTATGGCCTCAGCGTAATGTTGCGGAAAGAGTGAGGCTCAGTAGAGGGACTTTATATTTGAAGATGTGTTGTTTATCAAATATAATTGTTATTATCTTTATAAGAAAAGTTAAGTATATTGGTGGTTAAATTCCAATTTTATTTTGCGACATGATATACTTTGCTTGATCCCTCTAAATCGTGCCTAAACATATCCGGATTTCCGTCTGGTTTGATAGTTACTATATACTTCCGGTTTGGGTGGAGATAGAAAAGACTGAAAATCTACAGATACCATAATTTTTAATGTCATGAATTAACATAACCACAGAAAAAAAAAGAAAAAAAAAGAGATATTTTTGAGAATGGGTAGAAAAGCTAAACAGCATTGTAAGAATAGCATCGCAGTAACTCTGCTAGCTTCTTCCGTGACGAAGGTTTTTTGATCGCCGTTACCATGACTACATTTGTTACGTACATGTTACCGGACAAGAACTTCGCTCTCGCGTCTTCGCCACGAGACGAGCTTCACATGTTCGGAAAGTACGGGAAAATGAGAGTGAATTGATTCTATGCTATTCCGTCTTTGCGTATTGCAGAGTTATCTTCTCTTGGGAGCAGGTATTGATTGTTACGTCATTGGTCTGTGTGAGAAAATAACGTCGTTTTCTCAGAAATTGATGACGTTATTTTCACAAACAAGTTTCGTAACAATCAATACCTGCTCCCAATAGAAGATAACTCTGCAATGCGCAAAGACGGAATATGAAGGCTTCAAAAACTTTCGTCTTTCAGGTCGTTCAGGCTTGCAAAAAACGGCAACGTGCGTTGCCCCGTGCCTGCATTGCACAAACAATTAATTTAACATTTTCAATGTCCGTCAGATTTTTATGTACAGAAACAATTCTACATTTTTTTACAAGTCTATGTTACTGATGAAATCCTTCGATGTCACACAGATTATTTTG